TTTAAATAAAAAATATTAAAAGTTAACATTTTTATTTAAAAATTAATAAAATTAATATCTTTAGATAAAAAAACTATAAAATTGACTTTTTTTTTTTCCCCGTTACTCATTAATTTGTCCTTAATTTTTCTGCTTTTGACGATAGCCTTTTGTGACAGTATTGGAACTTTAGTTACTCCTACAGTAGTTTCTTCATAATATCTAATATATCCGTCTATTTACCCAAAAAAAAAAAACAAAAAAACAAAAAAACAAAACAAATGTTCTTGCTGGCATTGACTTGTAGTTCCACTTTCACATTTAGTGTGATTTTGCAATAATTAGGGGAGTGAATAAAACTTTTTCCCAATTGGCTCTTCAAGTTGTCTTCTGCCTTTCTTTGATGGAAAAATTTAAGAGGTAAATGAAATTTTGATATTTTAACATGTAAATAAATGTTGGTCATATTATCTGTTTCCCTTAATTCAAGGGATCGGAAAGAGAAAAAATCTACCAATTAATATTTTAATATTGGGGGTGTAAAACCTAAAAAATATTGAAATTTAATCTTGTCATGTCTCAAAACTTAATACTAAGATGTCAAATTTCTGATTAGACTTTTTTATATTTTGCAACTTGCATATAGAAAAACTTCGTTTTTATTAATTAATTTTGAAATTCTTTTATGAGTCAATATATAGAGTTCTTTTGCTAGGAAAAAAATAAGTATGAACAATGCAAAAAATAATCATAATGTGCTTATAAAGTGCCCTACTGATGGAGCTAGCATGGCCGACTGAAAAGAAATCTTAGAAAAATGAAAAGACAAGGGCAAATGCCCTAAATAATATTTGATATTTCCTTGAAAGGAGGACTGCAATGAATTAAACATTTTTTATTTGGTCCCATCTCGAAAGATGAAAAAAAAGAAGCTTCACCAAAATCCTAGGAGCTGCTCCAAATATTGCTAGGAACAAAGGGACTATGCTCTTATCCATGTGTTTTTTGAGGTGTTTCAGTTTTGTTTGGAATTGAGATTAAGAGTAATTTTTTTTCCAAGTGAGATGTTAGGGTCGAAATATTTTTTTTTTGTACAGGGAACAATACTAAGTATTGAATGTGGTAGAAGGAAAAAATATTTTTTAGTATGGACTGTATTTTTTTATATGGTTTGAGTATAGAAATTACTTAAATATTTTTAATAAAATTATTTTTTAATTATTTTAATAATATTTTTATAATTTTAATATCAAAATTACACAAAAAAAAAAAAAACATAGTTTGTATTGAAAAACACCTTTTTCATGGTGGAAATACTCTTTATATTCTAATTAAGGATTTTTTTTTTATTCATTGAAAAAAAGTAATGGTCATCAAGCCAGTTCATATCGGTCTTGGTCCCAAACCAATGGTCTTGGTTTTACAAGATGTGAAATCACAGCTGACTGCTACAGATGTGGTTGAATCCAATTCCTACGAGAGAACTATTTAAACAGATTTTCAACAAAACTTACAGTTACATCAAAAGGTTGACAGAGCAAGGTTGGCTAGCTGTAAGTGAGATCTGATATTTTCTTCAGTAGATTGTGATAAGTCGTCGTCTTTTTAGACCCATCTCTAGGGTTAGGAAAAGGAAGACCGACCAATCTTGGAGCCGCTCCGAATACTGTTGGGAATGGAGGAACAGTGGTTGGTTAAAGGATACTACCGCTTGGTAAGTGTCCTATTCGGTTTTTTTTTTTTTATTTTTTTTTTTTTTATTAAAAGTTATTTTTTTTTATTTTTTAATTCATTTTATTTACTTATCATATAATTTAAATTTAAAATTTTTTATTTTTATAAAAAAATTATTATTAAATTATTTAATTCATTAACTTCTCCCTTCTCTAATTCAGTTTAGAACAGTAATCTTTCTGGCCGGATGACATTTTGGTCGGTTTGGTGGGTCACATAATCAATACTTACAAACCCAAAACAAAAGAAGGAAAAAGAGAGAGAGGCTTATGATGTGTAACTTTGTCCTACTCAGGTATCTGTTATCTGCCCTTCCAATTTGATAAAAAGGACAAGCAACAAAATTTCTAATTTGTATTCTTGATTAAATGCTAATTTGTAGTATTCTAGGCATAAATATTTATAAATTACCCTATTCACAAATATTATATAGAACTTAACTTTCTTATTAATAATTAAAAAAATTTTAAACATAAATTTTAAAATATAATTCTCATTTATCTTTGTTAAGTAGGAAAATCCCACATCGACTATAAAAATAAAAAACTTGTGAGTTAAATATAAAGAAGGTTACTCCACCTATCACCAATTGGTTTTAAAAAGCCTTGTGTTGAACCTACATGCAGGATTTTTAATATGGTATCAGAGCTCAGATTCTACCTTAGGAAGCCCATATTAGCCAATTTGACAAGACCCGAAGTTGTTACCGGGCTTATATTTAAAGGAGGCGTAACCCACGTGACAGGACCGGGCCTGCACATGAGGGGACGTGTTAAATGAAAAAATCCCATATCGAGTATAAAAGTAAGAAACTTGTGGGTTAAATACAATGTATCACTTTAGCTGACTCCAATAAGTTGCATTGCAACTATATTGCCTGTGTACTTCTCAAGTGACCACCCACTACTCATCATTTCGATACTCAGTGGAGGAATGAGCGAGGAAATTAATCTCCACCTCTCACTGTCTAAAGAAAATTGAGACATCTCTTTCTTCACCACATTTCACATATATGATATATCCCCACAGCACGGAACCCACATCCGTCCTCCCTTCTCCGCACATATTCTTGCAATACAAGGCCCACCAACATCTTAATACGAACTCACTACCTCCCTGTGTCAAAATCGACTTAGGTTGTCGACAGTAGCTGATAATTTGTCCCCTTTCACTACTTCCTATAGTTTGAATTATCAATTCTGATGTCACTGTTGAGGAAACAGAGTCGTCAGAAACTCACAAACAAATTTTAATACTCATACTTCAAAAGTTATTTTAAACCTAAAAAAATTGACATATTAAATTTATGGTTTCCATATATTCATTTTATTCTTATCACATGTCATATGTTTCTTATGGAAATTTTGTGTTGACATATGGAACCCAACACCTTGTCCCAATTCGTACCCATCTTCAAAACTAGTCACTTGATGATGATGATGATTATTATTATTATTAGGATAATGATACATACACCCTATACAGTTACATACTTTATTGTACGCTGACAAAAATTATTAGTGTGTAATGAAAATTGTTAATTTTAATAATATAAGTAACAAAAGCAATTAGTCTTAATGGTCTAAGTAGTGGAAACTGTCAACTTTATTGGCATAAGTAACAAAAATTATTAGTATGTAATAGAGTGTCTAACTTTGCAGGATGTATAAGTTATTTTTCTTATTAATTATAATTATTATTGTTAAATCTTGAGCCCCCGGAGTTAAAAGGTTGTTGAACATTAACTCAAATTTGTTTTGTTTAGTAAGGGGAAAACTAAACTATAAAATGAATAACAATCTATTTTGCTTAACTGTAATATTTGTAATAAATATTGTTTGAGTAGAATTTTTGTACAAGTGTTGAATTATGAATTTATATAAATAAATAATTACTCCATTTAGTTAGATGTAGTTGTCATACTTTGATTTTTTACAAAAGTTTGACTAAATAATTTTGTATAGTAAATAAATGATAATTTTTCTCTCTCTATATGTAACACCTATTGAGTATTTTTATTTAAATAAACAAATTTTTAATTATCATTTATTATATAAAATCATCCTATCAAATTTTATGTAAAAGTCAAATTGAAATAATTAAATCATACCACAATTTAAGAATTACTAAAAATTATTAAATTTAAATACTTAATAGCAAAATCCCTTCTCTAAAAAGTCACAAATTTGTAACCTCAGTTTCTAACCATCTAATTAAAACCTCAAAACGACACTTTTTATAACAATGCAGTTGGCCTATCCTCAGCTTCTACCATAAAAATGAATTATTTTGTTCTTCATAAAACTGGTCCAAACAAAAGAAGCATTAAGGGACATAAGTTCTGTTTGAGTTATTTTCTCACGTCACTTTTTCTGACAATATGTTATACAATGTTAATTTATAATAATTAAATTAATTTCAATTAATATTTTATATAATTTTATAATCATATTAATATATAAATTTTTTAAAAAAATAATTATTAGATAATAATATAATTTTTTATAATAAAATACTAAAATAATAATATAATTATTACATAATAGTATTGCTTATATTTTTTTTAATAAATTATTTATTTGATTTGATTGATAAAAAAATACTAAAAAATTTACCATTATAATATTTCGCATCAATCCTAAACACAATCATAATTAAGTCAATCATGTTGTTAGGTCTAAAGATTGCGTATGATTGTAACGAATTCGAGCATTTCTTACATTTGATTGTAATAAATTTGCTGTTATAAAAAAACAAAAAAAGAAGTCAACAATGTCGTCGTAACTGGCTGAGAAGCCAGAAGAAAATTTTAATTCCTGAGAAGAACGAAGTACTTGCGTGGGTTTCTCTGCAAATGGCGGCTGCTAATGGGATGGATAATTTGGATCAAGGACCCCATTATTATCAATCTCTCTATTCTCATTTGCGTAGGCGAATCCAATATCTTGCAACTTCATGGTATACAATTTTTTTTTTTTTTACGAGAGTAATGGTTAAAAAATTAGTTTAAATTAAATTGTTAGTAATTAAAAATTTGATTTTCAAATCGGATGAACATTTTACTTCTTCGAATGGGACGCATAATCATTAGGTCGTTTTTGGTGGAGTTCACGACAATAGTGGAGTTTGAAACTCCAACAATTTCATCTAAACACTTAAAATTTGGGATCGAACCATTAAGACTAAAGGCTCGATTCTCATAGTATACATTTAATCTATATAAAGAGAGTGTGTATGCCTCCGAATTTCAAAAACCAAGCCCAAAACGATCATTGTCCGCTTAATTTACTAATTCATGTCATTAAAGAGTAAATGATAAATTTAATATTATTGTTATTATATTAAAGATATTGAGTTTCTTGACCAGTAAATTATCTAATTCCCTATATAAAATTTTTTTATATAATAATTTTATATTATTTAATAATATTTTAATATATATTTTAAAAAAAATTTTCCTTCCCTCTTTTTCATACTTTAATTTCTTTCTATAAGGCATCAGAGTTTTATGCTTCTCATTTTCTTTGTTTCTTATTTGCAAATATCATCTATTTTTATTAGTTTCTTTTGTTTTCAATTTTTTTTTTAAAAAAAAGCATAGTTCTCGTTCAGTTCCTGTTTTAATTTTTCAAGAACATTCTCAAGATCCATATTTTCTTTTCATATTCTTTCAGTTTTTGGCCCTTTTTTTTTCTAAATTATTGCTAGTTTCGAAAGTCCAAATTACTAAAAAGAAAAAAAAATGCTTCCTCCTATTTTGATTTCTTTAGTCCCTAATCATTGTTTTATTAGCTGATTCGTCCACTTTAAAATCAATAAGTCAGGAAATTAACATAATCTTTCTTTAATGTTTTATTTTCCCATCTTCTTGGTCCTTTTCAATGGTAGTATCAGCCTTTTCACATATCCATCTTTTAAAGTTTAAATATCTTTTCTCTATCTCTTGTTCTACTTCCTTGGCTATCTTTTCTTCTCTCAAATTCTTATACTTTTTTCACACCTACTTTCTTCTCTCAAAATTTTCTAACTCTCTTAGTCAGAGTTTGATATTTTCCTACATTCCAATTCTCCCAATTTCTCCTTTATCCTCTAATTCTACTGCTATCTGTTAATTTAACTTTAATTTTCTATTATTCTGCTCTACTCTGGTTTTCTTATCTTCTCCAAACAGATTCTTAATTTTAGTTTTTTTTTTTTTTTTTAGAACAGCATTCTTAATTTTAGTTCGGGGATGCTATTTGCTTCAAGATGTTCTCTGTGAAGGGTCATGGGTCACCTTCAAGATTTCTTCTCTTTTCTACTTTCAGGATGTGCTTTCAAGATAATAGACACATTTAGAGCCCACATACTTAAATTTCACATAATATTAGAACTTAAACTTTATTTTTAAGAATTATTAACCCATTTAACAAGATTTGAAGTTCATAATAAACCTATATGTAAAGCTGTTAAACCATCTGATGAGTTACAATATTCATGCCTAGTATGTATATGATGGGCCATATTAAATAGAAAGTCTGATATTGAGAATATATATATATATATATATATAAAATTACGGAGTCAAATACAAAAAAATCACCTGTTATTAATAAATTTTAAATTAAATATCAAATTTATATTAAAGTTCATATATCAATTTCCATAATATAAAATGTGGG